AGACTGTGACTTGCCACGAACACCCTCCCGCCCGACAAGCCCCCTGGGTGTGGGCGCCGCAGAACTGGAGCACAGGCACAAGTCTCACCTGCACCTCCGCACTGCTGGTGCCCACAGCCAGGTAGTTGCCCTCTTTGATCCAGGCCACAGAGGATATATAGTCCCCAGGCTGCTCCATTTGCAGCAGCTGCAAGATGTCCCCAGAGCTAGCACTCCACAAGTACACGCTGCTGTCCAACGCCACAGCCAGTACATTCCCAGCGCTCCAGTCCACAAGGTTCAGGTCTGCCAGAGCAGGGAGAGGGAAGAACATGAGCTTGTTCGCCTGCTCCCCAGGCCCTCTTCCTCCATCCGATGGGCAAAGAGGAGGCTGCACTCACAGTAGTCATTCCGGATTTCAGGGGCGTCCAGGATTCGGTCTGGCAGGGAAGGAATGTAACGGCAGGTCTTCCGGCTGGAGCCAGGCGTGGCCTTCTGGCTGTAAAGCACTTTCAGTCTGTTCTGGTAACCTGTGGCAACGGAGTGGGCCCACACACTGGGACAACGGACTCTTCCCTGTGGCCCTAGCCTAAAGGTCAGATGAACACCTCTCCTTCCCTCTCTTAGGTGGGAAGAGCAGACAGGCATCTCGTCTCAACTGCAGGGATGGGCTGACACCTCCCTCCAAGAACCAAGAACTTTGGGTCTTACCCTCCGGGGCATTTTGTGGTTTTCCACTGAGCCGAAGGATCTTGGCTTCCTCCACATCAAAACCGTTCAGGTTCAAAGCCCAGGCTTTCTGATGTTCCTGGCACAAAGGGCGAGGGTGAGGCAGGATGGCATGATCCAGATTACACAGGCGGGCCTTGTGGCTTAAGCCCCTCTGGGACACATACCTTCTTGGTGGGCGTCTGGCTATCTTCAGGCTGGTTTTCCTTGCTCAGGAGGAAACTGGCCACTTCCATCTGGGAAGCACTGCGATGGGGGATATAGCGGTCACCTCCAGGTTTGCTGGGAGTGGTCTGAGCCTTGGAGCTGGATTTGCCTGGGGCAGGGAGAGGGAAGCCAGAGAGTCTGACCAGGCTCCTGGGGGAAGAGGCATGAAGGCCGCTCTCAGCCGTCCTCTCTCCCTCCCCGATGTCCCGCCGCACCCCACTGACCGGGAGTTCGGCCTGGGGTCCTGCCGGCGCTGTGGGATCGGTTGGCTGCCCGCATGGGTGAGGGAGCCGGCCCCGCGGCTTCCTTAGCTTTGCGCTGCCAGCGCGCGGGAGGTGCATTGGGGATAGGTGCGTCCAGCTGCAGCAGCGAGTGCAGGTCACTCTCGAACACGAACTGCGCCATGGCAGCGTCTGCAGAGGGAGGGGTCCTTGGAGAGGGTGCCCGCCGAGTCCTGGAGGAAAAGGCGACCGTGCTCGATCTGGGACGGCCGGCCACTCACTCAGGGCCACCCTGGCCGCAGCCCCGCCCGACCCAGGACCCCCGACCGCCCCTCACCTTCAGCCCCCAGCAGGTTCCAATCCCAGACCGACTTCAGCACTGCCTACCTACGCTTCTTAAACTCTCCGCTCCGAGCACTCATTGGCTCCTTCAAAACCCAACCGTCGCAACCGTCGCCTTCGCCCATTGGCCTTTTACGGCACAGGAGGCGGGTCTTCCGGTGCAAGTCACAGATCTCACGATAATCCAGCCATGGAGCGTGATTTGAAGAGTGAGAGAGTGAAGGCCGGTCCCCAGAGAACGGGTGTCTGAAAGCGAGAGGGGCGGGGCGGGGCGCGCCTGGGGGCGGGGCCTGCGCTGCCGCTGCATTCCCGAGCCGCTTCCATTCATTCCTCAGCTTCCCCTCATCCGCCCTTTACCTTAAAACTGCATGTGATGTGCGCCAGGAGTGCATTTGTTGTGATGGTGGAATTTTTGAATCACTTTTTTGTACACCTGAAGCCAATATAATACTGTATGTTCCCTAACTGGAAGTAAAATAAAAACTTAAAAAAAAAGAAGATACATATAAACACACATACAACGGAATATTACTCATAAAAAAGAATGAGATCTTGGCATTTGCAACAACATGGATGGACCTAGAAGGTATTAGGCTAAGTGAAACTAGTCAAAGAAAGATAAGTACTGTGTAATTTCACTTATAGTGGAATCCAAAAAAAAAAAAGGAAAAAAAAAACCAGAAAAAACAAATACAGAGAACAAACTGATGGTTGCCAGAGAGACAAGGTGGGTGGGATGATGGGTAAGATAGGTGAAGGGGATTAAGAAGTGCAAACTTCTAGTTATAAGATAGTCACAGAGGGCGCCTGGGTGGCTCAGTTGGTTAAGTGTCATGTCAGGGTCCTGGGATTGAGCCCTGCATCGGGCTCCCTGCTCAGCCGGGAGTCTGCTTCTCCCTCTTCCTCTGTCTCTGCCCCTACTCCCCACTCATGCTCGCGTGTGCGCGCGTGCTAAGTTAATACATAAAATCTTTTTTAAAAAATAAAAAAATAAAATAGTCACAGATGAAAAGCACACCATAGGGAATATAGTCAATAATATTGTAATAATGTATGGTGACAGATGGTGACTACACTTATCATGGTGAACATTGAGTAATACATATAATTGTTGAATCACTATGTTGTATACCTGAAACTAAAATAACACTATACTTCAAAAATACATATTTAAAAAATTTTTTAAAAACTGCACGTGGATTGTATTGGTGATATAGAAATGCAGATCTTGGTGGAGTGACCTAAAGCACTTGAGGCGTTCAGAAAAGGGAAAGGCGGCAGGTGGGCAGGGGTGGGGAAGGAGTTGAGAAGCTTAGGCACAGAAAGAAGGCCAGAGCTAGTTAGCTTGGTGCCTGTAGGAATGCTGTGAGGAAGGAAGTAGCACGTGTGGTTTTTTTGGTTTTTTTTTTTTAAAGATTTTATTTATTTGACAGAGAGAGAGAGCAAGAGCACAAGCAGGGGGAGCGGCAGGCTGAGCAGGCAAGGGAGAAGCAGGCTCCCTGCTAAGAGCCTGAGGTAGGGCTCCATCCCAGGACCCTGGGATCATGACCCGAGCCGAAGGCAGACGTTTAATCGTCTGAGCGACCCAAGTGCCCCACGTGTGTTTGTTCTTAAAAATTGTTTTGTTGTTGTTTTACAAACAGGGAAAATGAGGCTGGAAAAGGGATGAATTCCTTAAGGTCAAGAAAAAAGATCAGGACTCAGACCTGCCTGTGTGAATTGTGTGAATATGCTCAGAGGTGAAGCAGCAATAATAAAGATAATAACCATTTATTGGCCATCTACTAACTACTGTGTTTAAACAGTTTACATACATTATTGACTTTAATCCTTAATCCCAGAAGATACTCCATTCCCTTTTTATAGAAAAAGAAACTGGGTCAGAAAAAGGTTAGAAGCTTGCCTGAAGGCATACAGCCAAATAAATAGCGGAGCCAAACTATCTGGCTTATACCTGCACATGTAACCATATGCTATACTGTCCCAGAGAGAGGCTGGAAAAATCATGTTTTCAATCATTACCTTAGATCAACTCTGATGATGACAGAGAAAAATCTAGGGCTCTTAGCCCAAACTTAATGTTGTTATTATTTTTGATTTTTAAGTATTCATGTGTTTTTTTTTTTTTTTAATTTCCAATTACCTGGGTGACCTGGAGTTAGCAACAGGGGGACCCTGAACCTCAGAGAACATAGAAGAGGTTTTTTAGAGTCAGGCTGGTCAAGGCCTTAAATGTTAAGCTAAGGAGTTTGGACTTTATCAGCTAGGTATCGTGGAATCAGTGAGTTTCTGTATAGAGAGGAACCAAGCAAAACATGTCTGAACACAGGACATGGCCAGTAAGCTTCTGGAGTAAGGGTAACTGTAGAGGAAAAGAAGGATAGAGTATAAATATGGGGACAACCTCAGGGAATTCATAGATTTTAAAATAAAGAAATGAAAGAAGCCAGTGGAGATTATCCTGACATGGACCTTGAAGAGGGAGGACTTCTAAGATATGCAAAATGGTCAAGAAGACTGATGACAGAAAAGGTCAGATTTGGCCACTGACAAATAAATCATCAGTGACCTTGGAGAGAGCTGGATCAGAAGAGTGCGTGCTTGGGGAAGGGACTGTAGAAAAGAAGGCTGGGGATGGGAAGAGTGTAGAGGCAGCAAGCATGGGATACTTGCGTGAGAAATTTGGGATTGGGAAAAGGGCAGTGCATGGGAACTTGAGGGAACCAATACCAAGAGGCTGATGCATGTTTGAAGGTGAAGGCAAAAGAGCCACGGGAAATGAAAGAAGCCGGGAAAAGGCCAGCTGAGAGAACAAGGTGCTTGGATTACCTTACCCAGGAAGAAATGGGATAGAAAACACAGGGAGCTTTCCAGTCTAGGAAAGAAAGATCACTTCCTCTTACACTGGAGGGAAGGAGAACAAGGCTTTAGAGAAGGATAATTAGAGGCCAAGGAGCTGGTTAGATGGAAAAACTCACACCTGAAGGATTTGAGTCTAGGAAAGCAAAGGACATGGAAAGAATAAAATATAGGTGACATCTAGGCGGTGGAACAGCCCAGTTGGGATGATAATAAAAATAGTTCAATAAACATTGAGTATTTACTATGTGCTTGGCATTATGTTAACACTTTAATCCTAACGTAGGAAAACACTAGACAAAGAAGAGACCAAGTTCTGAAGAGTGAGGCTAAAGATTTAGGGGTATGGAGTGGGATAAATAGGAAAATCAATCTGGTGGCAGCATACAGGCTGAGTTTAAGGAGAGATACTGGAGGCAAAGATATTAGTTAGAAGGCTGTAGCAATAGCTCAGTGAAGATGGAGGAGATGGACCCTAGGAAGTCAATGTAGTCAGGACATGATGGCTGAGTGGGTGTAAAAGTGAGAAGTTTGGTGGCTTGGATCTCAATCCTAGCCTTGAGGCCCTAGGATTAGAGTCAGAGCCTTGACCATGGCTAGGGGAAGGAATTATGGAAAATGAGTATAGTGGATGTCATCCATTTGTCCCACTCAGACCTACTCTTCCGTCCGTCTCTACCATGCCCTGTGCCTTGTGAAGCTGATTTGTATGGCCTATACAATGGATTCCCTTGGGCTTTGGCTTCTGTTTGGGTTCCATAAATGGGAAGATACTATGGATTAAATTTTGTCCTCCCCCTAAACTCATATGTTGAATTCCTAAGCCCCAAATACTCCAGAGTGGAACCTTATTTGGAAATAAGATCACTGCTGATGTAATTAGTGAAGATGAGGTCATTTGGGTGAGGTCATTTGGGTTATTCAATCCAGTGAAACTGGTGTCCTCATAAAATGGGGAAGCTTGAACACAGATACATGAAGAGAATGCCATGTGAAGATAAAGGCAGAGATGGGGGTGATGCTTCTACAAGCCAAGAAACACCAAGATTGTCAGGGAACCACTAGAAGCTAGCATCTCGAGAGGCATGAACAGACACTTCCTCTTCCTGGTTAGGAACCAACCCTAATGATGCTTTGAACTTCTAGCCTCCAGTACTGTGAGACAGTACATTTCTGTTGTTTAAACCACCAACTTTGTGGTCCTTTATTACGGCAGTGCTGGCAAACTAATACAGAGGAGAATAGAGGGTGGAGGGAGAGTGAGCCTGAGCCTGACTCCCTCCGTGCCATGTCCTCACAGATTGGCTCTCTACCAAAGGTCACTCTAGGCAGCCCTCTCTTAGAGTGACTCTCCAGATCTAGTAAACACAATCCCCCCTTACCCCTTGATGTGCCTAGGGGTCGTACCAGCTCCCAGCTATTTTTAGCCCTGGGATACTGCACTCTTCCTTGACGGTTTTCCTAAATCCTGCCTTATCTTTATAAATATGCCCTTTATTTAAATCTCATCAAGATGCCCAGTTTGAGTGTGCCATTTATTTCTGCCAAGACCCTGATTAATACAGTGGGTATGTCTGGAGCAAATAAAAACTACCATTTATTTGCAAATTTGAACGAGTCAGAAGAATCCATAACCAGAATGGCCTAAGCACATTTTTTAAAAGATTTTATTTACTTATCTGAGAGAGAGAGCGAGAGAGCGAGTGCACGCACAAGTGGGGGAGGGCAGAGGGAGAAGGAGAAACAGACTCCTTGCCGAGCAGGGAGCCCAGTGTGGGGCTCAGTGCGGGGCTCCATCCCAGGACCCTGAGATCAGGACCCTGAGATTGGAACCTGAGCCAAAGGCAGATACTTAACTGACTGAGCCACCCAGGCGCCCCTGGCCTAAGCACGTTTACTGCTGCAAATGAATGGCCTAGAGGATGAGGGCGCTTGGCATGGGGTTAAGGTGGCATTGTCTGGAAAGAGTTCCTTCATTTAGAAAACATTTATTGAAGGTCTACTATCATGCACCAAGCACTGCTCTAGGTGCTGGGGGGCAAAGACAAATAAATCATGGCGGAGACAGACACATAAATGGTTACTTGCATAAAGCAGCACAGGTACGGTAGAAGTCAGGGTTGGAGATAAGAACTTTGCAATCGTCAGCTTACAGGAAAGGCAATGGACTCTTGAGGAACTACAATAATTAAGGGGTGGGAGAGATGCCAGGATAAGAGAACAGGAAGGAATAATTATAATTCAGATATAAACATACATCCTAGGCATTGTGCTCTACTTACACTAGGTCACTTATCCTCTTCACAACTCTGTGGGGTTCTGGCATTATCCCTGTTTTATAGATGAGAAAATCAAGGCACAAAGACTTTAAGTTATGTGCCCAAGGTCACACAGCTAGCAAGTGGGTAAGAGAGGAATTGAACCCAGCTTTGACTGTTGAGTTTATGCTTTTAACTACTCGTATACTCAGAGCCAGGAGAGATGGTGATACTATGGAAGCCAAGGTAGGAGAGAATTTAAAGGAGAAATGAGTACTCCCCATGACAGATGCTACGGAGAGATCAAATAAATTGAGGATTGACAAGATCCTACTGGACCTTGCAATCACAAGGTTTGACGTGAACTCTGCCTGAGTAGTTTCCTTAGCAAAGTGGGGGAACGAACTGAAGTCGTCTGAAGAGCAAATGGGAAGTGGGGATGCGGAGACATCTTTTCAAGGAGTCGAGCATTAGGGAGGAGAGAGAAAGCAGGTGAGTGAGAGGAGCTTAGTCAAATGAACCTGGAGTGAGGAGGGGGGTCCTGGCTTTAGGTCTGCAGCAGTACCAAACATTGTCAGTGTCGGGGAGCCCAACTATGAGGACAGACAGAGGGGGATGGCCGTAAGGTCTGAGATGTTTGTGCTGTGGGGTTGGGGGTAGGGAGGTTGGGAAAAGAGGTCGGGCGGGTTTGGATCTGTCCGGGGTATGGGGAGAGAGGGGCCTGCCAGCCGCTCAGAGGTAAGTAGGAATGGTTGGCGATGTGGGTGGTGCAGTAGGACCCCGACTCAGCCATGTGGGGGCACACACACAGGGGCACGGTCCCCGGGCAAGAAGGGGGCAATCCTCGGTAGTCCATCTGGGTCTGGGAGGAACACAGGGCCACGGAGATCTTCTCTGAGGACCTGGGTAGAATTTCAAGGGGGCTGGGTTCCACTTCCTCAAAGGCATCTGAGATTGCAGCCTTGGGCTGGGACAGTTGGGGGGAAAGAAGTCTGGATTAGAGCTGGTGCAGTGGGGAGGAGGACCTGGACTGTGCAGGAAGGAGGGTTAGCTGGGCATAGGGCTCAGGGATGGTATGCTGGTGGGCAAGGGCCTTGGAAAAGTGTGCACTGGGGCAAGGATCCAACTCCAGGCAGGGCTGGTGCTGGGGAGTGGAGAAGGGGATGTACTCACCGGACTCAGCGATGCCGTATCCCTAAGGTACTGGCCTAGGACCCGGTGCAGGTCTGGAAGTGAGGGCCACAGGGCATGCTTCAGGCTCCTTGGGGAGAAGGAAGAGGAGACTGAGTCACAGGAGTGAATTGGGATGGAGGAGGAGACTACTGAGGTGGTGGGGGGTTGAGGCTGAGGTTAGGGAGTAAGGCTTAGAGAAGTAAAAGTGTAGTCAAGACAATAAGATAAGGTAGAGGGGCATAGGTGAAAAGGAGGGAAAGGGGAGTCAGGGGAGGGGAGGTTCAAAAAAGGGGTTTGAGTATCCTCAAATATCCCTGCTTCAGACATCCTTGCTGCACTTGCTCTTCTCTGTGCCTCTTGATTTGTTCCCTTATTTCATTTAGGTCTCTGCTCAAATGTCATCCTGAGAGAGAAGCCTTCCCTGACTGCCCTGTCTAAAACAGTACCACCTCCCTTCCCCGTTCCTGTTTCCTGCTCTGCTTTCTTTTTCTTTCTTTCTTTCTTTTTTTTTTAAAGATTTTATTTATTTATTTGAGACAGAGAGAATGAGAGAGAGAGAGAGCACATGAGAGGGGGGAGAGTCAGAGGGAGAAGCAGGCACCCTGCCGAGCAGGGAGCCCGATGTGGGACTCGATCCAGGGACTCCAGGATCATGACCTGAGCCGAAGGCAGTTGCTTAACCAACTGAGCCACCCAGGCGCCCTGCTTTATTTTTCTTTACAGCACTTGACTTATTGTATACGCATTATATTATCACACATATTTGTGTTTGTCTGTCTCACTCCACTAGAATATAAATTCCATGAGAACAAAGAGTTTGCCTGTTTGCTCAGTCCTCTATCTCCAGGGGATAGAACACTGTCTGGCTCATAGTAGGTCCTCAAGAAATTAGTTCAAAGGGTGAATGAAGAGAACCAGAGCGGCTTATTACTAAGTTACTGGGGAAGGTGGTCTCTCTGGGAAGAGTATGGATTAAGGTAAGTTGGGGCAACCTGTAATTCTTTAGGTTTGTATTTCCACATGGAAAGACTTGAGTTGAACAACATTTCAGGCTTCTTTTGTGACCTCACTCATATCTCTCCAGGGGAGGAGTGATTTATCTGGCAAATTGGGGACAAGGAACTGAGTATGCCTGGTTCAGTAGCATCACCTTCCTCTTCTCCCCCAGCTTTTTTGTTGGCTCTGACTACCTGCATAGAGGCTACAATCCGGTCTGCTCATACAGATGAGTGAATTAAAAATTGAAAGAAAGACATGTTCAAGGAGAGATGGGAGCATAAAGGAGGGACGTCTAACCTAGTCTAGGGTCACCAAGAGAGGCTGCCTGGAGGAGTTGCCTTCTGAGATGAGTCTTCAAGAACCAGGAGATGTTACCAACTGAAGGACTGAGGGGGTATGGATTCTATCCTCGTGTTTGTTTGTTTTGTTTTACTTTTCTATCCTCGTGTTTATAACTTCCAATGACATTTCTCTTCAGCCTTAGTCTTCCCACATAAACAAGTCACTAGTAACATTTATTTAAGGGTGTGCTATTTGGCAGGCACTGTGCTGAGGATTTAAAGATGACCAAGTAAGGTATAGGGAAGGCATATAAAGAAGTAAATACTGTAAAATGCTACTGATACCGTGACAGAAGTCGGTGCTGGGGCACAAAGAGAGTAGCCAATAGGGGAGGGTTTAGGAAAGGTTTCTAGGAGGTGGTGGAGAAAGTTATTTAAAGATAAAGGGGTATTAGTCATCCAGGGAGGATATCCCCGGCAGAGAGGACATCATATGCAAAGGCACTGAGAAATAAAACCACTGGACTTGGGGAGGAAATCACTAACAGTTTGGCAAGGCTGATGCACAGGGTGGGAGGGGGTGGGAAGGCGGGCCCTGGGCCAGATTTTATAGAGCCTTGCTTGTCATTCCAGAGTCTGGACTCTATCCTGGGAGCTAGTAATGAGACTTCAGGAGGGGAGTGACAAGTTCATGTGTGCGTTTTAGAAAGATTATTTGGGCGGCTGTGTGAGGCTAGACTGGAGTGAGAAGAGGCTCTGTTTCCGCGAGCCCGGTAGTATTTGTAGGGCTCAAAAAGGGGACCATTGTTTGAGCAAGGTTTCGGGGGTGGAATGAGCAGACCAGGCCAGACTGGATAAAAGGGAGGGAGGCGCCTAGTGTTCTGGTTCGGGTGATGGGTGGACAGCAGCCCTGCTGCTGAGATGAGGAGCCAGGAGGTGCGGTTGTTTGGGGGTCCGGTAGAGCGGGCATGTTAGAGTGTACGGAAGCGGTGCGACTCCCAGGGGAGACTTGCAGGACGTGGCTGAAGCCAAAGGTGTGGACTTGCGGTCCTCGGTCCTCGGGAGAGCGGGTGTCATTGGGTAACCCTGGGATGCTTGTTCAGAGGCCTCCGGCCCCACCCGTCTCCTGAGTGACCGGGGCGGTACCTGTAGTGCGCAGGAAACTGCCACCTCAGCAGCAGCAGGCCCAGGAGGGCACTGAGGCCCAGCACCACGAGCAGAGCGGTCACCAAGGAGATCCAGGCTGAGGGACAAAACCAGTCAGACCTCTGCTGCCCTTGGCCGGAGCCCCGCCCCCAGGCCCGCCAGACCCCGCCCCTCACCGCCCGCCCCTCGCGGCGCCGGCGCCCCTCCACTCGCGCAGCCGCAGAGCGCCTTGGCCCCCGCCGGGCCCTCACCGATCTCGGAGGTGGTCTCCACGCGCACGGGGTCGGACCAGGCGCTCCAGGGGCCTTGGTAGGTGGGGCCGTGGAGCCTGGCGCGCAGCTGTAAGCGGTAGCGCGAGCGCGGGCGCAGCTCCAAGGTCTCTCCCTGGGCCCCGAGAGGCGGCTCCAGCACCTGCGCAGAGGGGGAGCGAGCGGGTGGGCAGGCTCCGGGCGGCGGCGCCCCGCCGTCGGGGCCTCGACAGCCTGGCATCCTTTTGGCCAAAGGCCTACCGCTTTGAATCTTCGGGGTACCCCCCCCAAAGAGCCTCCCTGACAGAATACATGCATCCCGGCGACAACTTGCAAGGTGGAGCACCCCGACAGAGAGGCATGCCCAACCTTAGGGAAACACGCCCCGACACACACACGCTGGCACACAGACCTCATGTGCACAGAGAACTAACTACTCATCCTGACACAAATGCAAACACACACTGACCAGGTCACGCGGACATCCCGCCAGAAGTGCTCCTCAGGATCCAGGTCAGGCGACGGAAACCCCGGGCACATTCAGATACTCAGGGCCACATAGACTGTTCACAAGTAACATGCATCCAGGAGCGGATGCTAGGTGCTGAGGGTACAAGGACAGATTCCGAGCAGAGGGAACAAGCATCATGTGGACAAGCAGGGAGACTAGCTAGCCATCATGTAGCAAACATTTATGAACTACGGGTGATATGCCAAGCACTGGGGAAAGGATAATGAAACACGGTTTCTTGCGAGTCTAATGAGGAACACATGCAAACCAGTAAATGATTACAAGTAATTAGTGCTATAATGATGATATAAGTAAGGCAGAATGGGCGCATGAGGAAGCATGCCATGCTGCCTGAGCTGCTTGGTTGGGGGTTACAGAGTAGTTCAGTGTGCTAAGAGCATGGAGCATGGATGGGCAGGCGAGGTGGTCAAAGATGAGCTAAGGCAGTGGTGGTAGGGATTTGAAGACCGTTAGTACAATAAACTCAGCTTCCGTGTTGATGAATGGAGGGAAGGGACAAGGGAGAAGGAAGAAGAGTCAAGGGTGATTCCAGGCTTGGATAACTGGTAAGTGGTAGAGCCACTGTCAGCAAACAGAGAAGTACGTTTGAGGACGAAATACCATATGGTTCCATTTTATTAGGTTCAACAACAGTCAAACCTTATCAATGGTAATGTCTGAACAGTGGTTATCTTGGGGTATGTGTGACTGTAAGGGGCATAAGGAGCTTCTGAGGTGTTAGAAATAACCTATATCTTGATTTGGGTAATGGTTAAATAGGTGAATACATGTACAAATTGATCAATTGTACATATTTTTTAAAGATTTTATTTATTTATTTGACAGAGAGAGACACAGCGAGAGAGGGAACACAAGCGGGGGGAGTGGGAGAGGAAGAAGCAGGCTTCCCACGAAGCAGGGAGCCCAATGTGGGGCTCGATTCCAGGACCCTGGGATCATGACCTGTGCCGAAGGCAGACGCTTAACAACTGAACCACCCAGGCGCCCCATTGATCAACTGTATATTTAAGATCTATGTATTTTACTGAATGTAACATACCCTGATAAAAAGGTAAAATAATCTTGGGGAGGAGGATGAGTTTAGTTTTGGATATATTGGGTCTGAAATGCCCCAGGGGGCTTTTATGTGGAGCTGTCTGGGAAGAAGTTGTATATACATGTGGTTAATGAGAATAAAAGTAGAGAAAGTAATATTTAATGTATATTGAGTACCTTCTATCTGCCAGGCATTATGCTAGATATTTATATATATAATTTTTACCACAACTCTGGAAGATAGATAGTTGTATCTCCATTTGACAAAACTGAGACTTCCAAAGTTTAGGTAATTTACCTAGGGCATAGAAGTTCCTTTCCATATGGGTGTTGGAATGGTAAGATTGGGCAGGTTAATGCATAGTCATTAAACTATAAGCTCTTACCTAGGATGAGCGTGTATATTTATCGAGAAGAGAAAAGAGTCTAGAATGGGACTATAGGAAACACAACATATTAAGGAAGGGTGGAAAAGGAGGAGCCAGGAAAGAGGGAGAAGGTTCAGCCAGAGAAGTAGTATGAGAATCAGGAGACTGATATCCCAAAGGCAAAGGAAAGAGAAAATTTTAAATGGGAGTAGTCAACAGTGTCAAATGCCCAAGAAAGATTAAGATACCAGTTGAATCAGATCAACATAGATATACAAACCCAAACCCAGATACATGGATACCTTCACTCTTGATAACAGACCTGATGAATCTTAGGAATACCCTGTATAGTGAGATCTGTGGACATGTTTTCCTCGATCGTACCTTCCAGTCTTGATGGCCTTCTCCTGTGTATCGGAGCTGATAGCAGGTCTCTTGGGCTCCCCAGGATGATGGGTGTTGCCATTCCAATTCCAGCTGCCCACTGGAGACCTCCCTCCAGTGCAAGTTTGGAGTGGGGATGAGCACTACAGGGAGCCAGCAGGGACTGGCCTAAGCCCTTCTGTGCATGAGACATCATGCCACTAGGGCCATGGGTCAGAAGTGCCAGAGCTGGTGGTGATCCTGGGTGTGGGGTCAGGAGCGGTAGGGGCAGAAAGTACGTGGGAGGAGAAGGGAAGAAAGTTCTTACCAGCCTTGTGGATCCAGAAAGGGGAGCCCAGGTAGCTGTGAACAGCACCCTGGGCTGTGGTCACCTCCACAAGGATGTGAATAACACTGTCATTTCGTGACTTGAAGTGGCAGCGGGAGAACTGGGAGGGCTGTAATCCTGGATATTTCTCCTCTTCACACTTCTCCCAGATGGGGTCCCTAAGAATCATCCCCGTAGTCACTGAATCAGGCCTGCCTCTGAGACTAATTCTGATAATTCCTATCCCAAAGGGGATATGGCCTGTGGGGATTATAATCCAACTCCTCCCTTGGATGGGCTTCCAAGGCTTTCTCTCTGTCACTTCCTGCCATGATGTTTTGTTTTCTGAATCTGACTTTGGTGTCCAGCCTCTTCCTCTTAAGGAAAGAGCTAGATGATTCATGAACACAGCTTGGGCTCTACAGCTCAGGTCTTAACTTGGTCTGCAACTCTGGTACATGACTGATCTCTGCTCCCATTTCCTCATCTGCAAAATGGGTTAAAAATCCTTACCTCACAGGATTGTTTCAAAGAGCCTTCATCTTTATGGTGGAAAGGTCCTCATGTTTTTAATCTCATACAGCAGGCCTGTTAGTCACCTCTCTGTGTTATTCTACTATTAGATGATTACAACAGCCTCCCAGCTGGCTTTTCTGCCTTCATTTTCACCACTCCCTTGTGGAGTTTGTCCTCCACATGGCCGCCAGAATTTGCTTCCAAAATTTTGATCTGATAATGCCCAGAAGAGATCACAAATCTGTCCATTTGTTTGAATCTTTCCCAAGGCCACATTCAATGAGCCACCTCTGTCTCCGGCCTGGATTAAGGCAAACTTCTAACTGGTGACTCTGCTTCCACCTTTACTTCATCATTTCACAGAGAATAATACCTTTTTTAAAGGAAAGTCACATCATGTCACTCTTCCACTTGAAATCCTTCAGTATCTCCCTATCCCCCCTTGAATGAAATCCAAACTCCATGCCAGGGCCCACAGGACTCGATATGGTTCAGTTCCTCCCTACCTGGCCATTCTCATCTCCTACAATTCTTACACCAGTCTGCCACCCTTCATTTACACGAGCCTTCTTGCTGCGCTACAAATACGTCCCACTCACTGCCTTTGCACTACACCTTGCCCTCGATTGCTCTGACTCTAGATCTCCATGTGACTCATTCTCTCTTTGCCATTTAGGCCTCCTGGTGAGGCCTTCTCTGACCACACAATCTAAATTAGCATCCATCCCCCATCCTCCCACTTAGTCTCTATCATATAACTTGTTCTTTGGTCTCTTTACTTCTTTGTCACCCTTCCTTTCCCCCCCCTCAACTAAAATGGAAACCCCAACAATGTGGAAACATTTCTCTTTTGTTTATCACTCTAGCCCCAATGCCTGGCACGTAATCACTCTCGATAATTGTTTATTGAACAAATGAATCATGTCTCCTTCCTGATTGTCATTCCTAAATGGCTAGTTCTTACTAAAATTATTTATTAATGTATTTATGTGTTTACTTCTTTATTCAACAAATAATTAACACGATGTGCCAGGCGCTGTGCTAGGCACTATGAATACATAGAGGAATAATCAAGGAGCTCTCATTCCAGTGGGAGAGGCAGAAAAACAGACAGATGGTATTTTTCTGTGGTGTGGACTGGCTGGTTTGGGGGTTATCAAGGAGGATAATCTAACCCAGATGGGGAGGGTCAGAGAATACTTGCTGGGCAAGGCAGTGCTTAGACTGAGTCTTGGACTATAAATAGGACAGGCAAAGGGGACAAACAGGCATCCCAGGCACATGCTTGTGCACAGATAAGGGATATGGGGCTTTGGGGGAAATTCTAAGTGGTATAGAACTCTCTTAGCTTAGAGGGCCTGGTGATGAGTGGTAAATGGGAGAAGGCAGACTAAGATCATGGATGGTCTTATGGCCTTTCTGAGGAGCTTGAACTTAATCTTGTAGTAATCATGGAGACATGTAAGGATTTTAAACAGAAACTTGTCATAATTAGCATTGTACTTTGGGAAGATCACTGTAACTGCAATTTGTAGGAAAGAAATTTGTGAGGACAGACTAGAAGTGGAGAAATCCAATAGGACACTTTTATGGACGAAGGACCAGAAACAGGGTGGCGGCAAAGAAGGTGGAGAAAAAGAGATGGATTCAAGGGATACTGAAGAGGTAGAGATGATTAGACTGTTTCTGATTGGACCTGGAGGGTGGGGAAAAGGCAGAAGTCCATGGAAATCACCATGTCAGGCCTGGAAAATTGAGTTGATGGTAAGATAGGGGACAATAGGAGGAGGAGCAGGTTTTGGTAGAAGAAATGATGTCAGTTTTGCTTCCCTTTAAACCATTCATGGCACTTCTAGACTATGGAAATCTGTGCAGTTATTAAAAATAATCAGTTACATCTTTTTGTAATGGGCTCCAAGACACATTTTTAAGTAAAAAAAGTAAGTTGGCAAACTATATATATAATGTGATCTGATTCATATTGAAAATGAAATGTTGTGTATAGACATGTATAAGTCCATAGAAAAACTGGAAGAGAACATTAAAACTGTTAATGGTGGTTTTTTCATGATTCATTAATTTAGCGATTTTTTTACTGAGTAACTGCTAAGTTCCATGCACTGTGGTAGGTAAGAATACATCAGTGAGTAAAAGCAGACGTTGACTTTGCCCTTAGGGATCATGTATAGTCAAGATCAGCCCCTCTCAACTGGAGTTCTGAGACAGGATGATATTATCAGTCAAATAACCACATAAAGTATAAATGTAAAATTGTAACTGTGATAAGTACTTAAGAAGGAGAGGTAAATGGTACAGTAAGTATGTATAATAGTGCTATTGGACCTGATGAGGAAGATCAGGGGAGGTTTCCCTGAGGAGGTGACATTTGAGTTGAGATCTGCAAGATAAGTAGAAGTTAAGACAGGAGGGCTGGGTAGACAGCATGCACAAAGACCCAGAGGCAGGAGAGAATATGGCAGACAGAAGGGGACCAAAGAGTCATAGAGGGGAAAAGGCAGCATAGTGTTAGATGAAGCTGAAGGCATTCAGGGGCTGAGTCTGTTAGTACTCTATAAGGCCACAACAGGGTTTTTCTTCTTCTTCTTTTTTAATCCCAAGATCAGTAGGAAGCTATTGAAGATTTTAAAGCAGAGAGTGTTATGAGAATGATTTGGAGGATTTAAGAGGTGATCAGTTAATAAGTCTCCTCAGTAGCCCAAGTGAGACATCATGATGGCTCATACCAGGGGAATGGCAGTGATGAAAAAATGTGGACAGATTCTAGAGATATTTAATAGGTAAAGTCAACAAGACTTGGTAACTTTCTTACACCATACATAAAAATAAATTCAAAATGTTTGAAAGACCTAAATGTGAGACAGGAAACCATCAAAATCCTAGAGGAGAACACAGGCAGCAACCTCTTTGACCTAGGCTGCAGCAACTTCTTACTAGACGCATCGCTGGAGGCAAGGGAAACAAAAGCAAAAACAAACTATTGAGACTTCATCAAGATAAAGAGCTTCTGCACAGCAAAGGAAACAGTCAACAAAACTAAAAGGCAACCTTCAGAATGGGAGAAGATATTTGCAAATGTCTTATCAGATAAAGGGTTAGTATCCAAAATCTACAAAGAACTGATCAAACTCAACACCCCAAAAACAAATAAGCCAGTCAAGAAATGGGCAGAAGACATGAACAGACACTTCTCCAAAGAAGACATACAAATGGCTAACAGGCACATGAAAAGATGCTCAACATCACTCATCATCAGGGAAATACAAATCAAACCACAATGAGATACCACCTCACACCTGTCAGAATTAACAACACAAGAAACAACAGGTGTTGGCGAAGATGCAGAGAAAGGGGAACCCTCTTGCACTGTTGGTGGGAATGCAAACTGGTGCAGCCACTCTGAAAAACAGTATGGAGGTTCCTCAAAAAGTTAAAAATAGAACTACCCTACAACCCAGCAATTGCACTAGTAGGTATTTGCCCAAAGGATGCAAAAATACAGATTCGAAGGGGTACATGCACCCCAATGTTCATAGCAGCAGCAGCATCAACAATAGCCAAACTATGGAAGGAGCCTAAATGTCCATTGACTGATGAATGGATAAAGAAGATGTGGTGTGTATGTGTGTATATGCCATATATATATATGTGGAGTATTACTCAGCCACCAAAAAGAATGGAATCTTGCCATTTGCAACAATGGAGCTACAGTGTATTATGCTAAGCAAAATAAGTCAAAGACAAATACCATATGGTTTCACTCATATGTGGAATTTAAGAAACAAAACAGATGAACATATGGGAAGGAAAAAAAAGAGAGAGGGAAGCAAACCTTAAGAGACTCTTAATGATAGAGAACAAACTGAGGATTGATAGAGGGAGGTGGGCGGGGGATGGGCTAGATGGGTGATGAGGATTATGATGAGAGCATCTTACGGGGATGAGAGCATGGAGGCCAGTTGGTTTGGGGACAAGGGAGGGAAGTGAAGAGGATCAAGAACAATCTCTCCCTTTCTGCATTGATCATGCCTCTCTCCCATGACATCAAGCTCAATCAGCAGTTCAGCTCTCACCTGTCTCTGGGGCAGCACCGTGCCCTGCTGTGGTAGAAGAAGCCTTGGGAGCTAGCATGGTCCTGTTGCTGCCACTGACAGGTAACATTCTTCAGGTTCAAGGTAAAGCACTGCAGTCCAATTTCCACTGAATTAACAGAAGAAAGTCCCATCAGGGCCAACACATTCCCACTCTATAGGGTATCCAGATTATCTTTACACACATAACTTGGAATATTTACCCCCATTCTTTGTTCTCTCCCTGAATATAGTTCACTCTGTCTGTCCAGTGGCAAGTCTGAGGTTATCAGGAAGGACCATGGTTCTCAGAGCTGCCATATCCAGTCCAGACCTCTCTAGAGATCTTTTCTATCTCCTCCCCATCTTCCCACTCTTTTGTTGACTCACCTGCATCTCCAGGCAGGTCCACAGTTGCAGGGAGGGACCAGGATCCCCAGGAGCCAAGGAGGGAGACCCCATCGGGTTGGCTGCGCAGCTGGAGCCAATAGGATTTACCAGGCTGGAGCCCTGAGATGAGGCAGCTTCCACTCCTCACTGTTAGAGATGAAGCCTTGGGAGAAGAATCCCAGCCTCAGAATCTAGGTCTGCCTCAACCAAGACAGCCTCCATCTCTTATATTTGAAGATGGAACTGAAACGCCCATTTCCTCACTGGATAGATATGCATACAGACTAGGGGCCAGGTCAGTGGGTTTCGGGTGGTATTCAGAGCTTTTTAGGGAGATCCCTACTAATTCAAAGGCCTGAAATGCTCAATTTTGTTGGTGTGAATGACCCAAAGTGGGAGATTCCTAAATAGACATGGCTCCCAAGCCCATACTAACTTCCCAAGGACCAACCCAGTCCGGAATCCCCAAAGTATGGCCTATCCTTTCTTGGGGCAAAATTTGGGGTAGGAGATAGGAGGTGGGGCAGAAGAAAGCCAGGATACTTCTCTAGTTGGGGAAGTCTGCTCTGGTCCATCCTGTTGGGGCATCATGGGCTGAGCACATGGAGGCTGGTGCAGAGCTGGGACTGGGTTTAGTCTCTGCAGAACTGGACAGCAGGTTTCTGTGGGCAGCAGCTGCATGACTGTGGGACCAATGGAGTTGCTGGGATCCTTGGGGCCGTAGCGAAGTTCGTGCCTCAGGAAATCACTGATTTCGGGAGCTGGGGTCTCCCAGCTGATCTGCAGTTCCCCTGGCTGGCTCCCACCTGAAGCCTTAATGATATCTGGGGGAGCTGGTAAGCCTGGGGGCAAGACAGGGTACACAGAACTCTCTGAGTGCCACAGTCTATGGCTCAACCCATGGACTGTACAGAGGGGAGCTGGAAGCTGGGTTGGGGGCAGCCCCTGGATTCTAGAAGATCACGGGCCATTGCTTTCTTGGAGGCCAGGGCAAGGAGGCTCCTTATCCTGTTCTCCTTTCCTCATTAGAACAGTGACCTCACTGTGGCTTTGTTAGACTCAGTGCTCCCAAGAACAGGGATCTCTTCCTCTCTATAGCCTTTCGCCTAGCACAGTGCCTGGCACATGGTAGGTATTCTGTAACTGTGGAATGAGTCAATGAATAGGTTCATGATGGGGCGAGGGCACAGGTTGTCTCTGGTGTGAAATGAAATCTAGCTCTGGATGTGAAGAATGATAAGGGGGTCTTGAGGTGCCTCTGGCGGTCTGGTCATGAAGGGCATCCACGTTGGCCTAAAAGAGCACAGACCAGTCTGATCCCAGGAGCTGGACTGAGGGCAGCAAAGAGGGGGGCCAGGGTGACAGGAGGATGGCCCTTACCCACACTATCCACAAAGAGCACCCGCTGGGTCAGAGTCTGATTCAGAAACATGTTCTTCACCCAGAGGTGCAGTGGAAAGAAGAGGCGAACTTCATCCTGGGCTGGAAACTGACACACATATCGGGTCCCAAAGGGGGGCACGCTCTTGTAACTCAGGGGGCAGGCACGGGGCTTCTCCCTGTGGGCGTAGGAGAAGGCTGTTCCACCTACATGGCCACCAGGACAGGCCCTGAGGACCCAGGTCTGGGCCCAAGCCCAACTTCTATTTCCATTCCTGCCATTTTTCTACTCAGTGCCTGGGACAGGTGGGGTTAGGGGTTATGTATGGGCTGGTGCTGGGGATATCCAAAGCACATCTGTTCATTAAGTGGCTACTGAGGGCATGCACTTGGAGTAGTCCTCTGATAGGGCCCAAAGGCAGGGAAGCTCCAGGAGCTGGGTTCAGCTGAGGTAAGGACAGGACAGATACAGGGGAGCGTGGCACAGCCCAGCACATACCCTGGGTACGCATACAGCAGCTGGTATGTTCCATTGGGCGCTGCTTCTTCCTCATCCCAGAAGCAAGTGAGGTCCTCAAATGTTCGAGAGAAACAGTTCAGGGGCTCTGAATCCAAGGCCAGAAAGGAGGCATCTGAAGAACAGTTGGTGAGTTGAGCTCTGGGTACTCGCAGGCATGTTTATGGGCAAGAGTAAGGGGCTGGTGGGAGCCTCCTACCTTGCACCCCTCCCAGGGCTCCCTCTTCCTGGGTATAGGTGATCTCCACCCTCCATACACCTCACCTTGGCTGGTGACTTGTGCCAGGTTTTGGGGGGCCAGGAGGAGGCAGGAGGTGACCACCAAGAGGGCCCACGAGGGCATCTTCTCCGGCACTGTGTGCCTGGCTTAGCCCATCCTCCCCTCAGGAAGCCGGGCCCCAATCCCCTCCCAGGCCAGCCCCTCAGGTTCCTGTCAGATACAGCCCCACGTCCTGTCCCTGTCCCTGCCCCTGTGGGGCCCATCCAGACCACACTGGGGCCAGGGGCCAGGGGAGGGGGAGTGGGAGTGGGCAGGAGAGTAAGAGGAATTTGAAAGGGAAGATATAGGCCTTTTGGTGGGAGGCAGATGGGGGTTACATTTTTGACCGTGAACCAGAAGGAGACTGAGCCTATGTGTGTGATGATGTCAACTCTTATAGAAGGGTGTATTATCAACAAGAATAGCAACATTTACTGAGCACTTACTAAGGACTTTGTATCTATTGACTCAGCTCATCCTCACAATAGTATTATTTCCACTATGGAGATGAGGAAACTGAGACGCAGAGAAGTTAAAAGATTTGCCTAAGATCACAGACCTACTGAGAAATAAAGCTCAGGAGGTCAAGCTTCAGAGCCCAAGGGCTGAACAGCTATGCCATGCTACTGGAAGGCATAATCCATTGAGAAATGACTGCTTCACAACCATAACAAAATGGTGGCCATTTCCACTTAAATGGGTTCTGTACCTTTGTGCCCAAACACATTGTCCCTGGAATTGGATGTGCACCCTCCCTGGTGGGGAGCCTCCAGAGCTGCCTCTTGTCCATTGCTACTCAAAGTGTGGCCTGGAGACCAGCAGCAACAGCATCACCTGGGTGCTTGTTAGAAATTGCAGAATCTGGGGCGCCTGGGTGGCTCAGTCATTAAGCGTCTGCCTTTGGCTCAGGTCATAATCCCAGGGTCCTGAGATCGAGCCCCGCATTGGGCTCTCTGTTGAGTGAGGAGCCTGCTTCTCTCTCTCCCCCTCACTCTGCCTACTTGTGTGCTCTCTCTCTCTGTCAAATAAATAAATAAATAAAATCTTAAAAAAAAAAAAAAAAAGCAGAATCTTAGGCCCCACCCCAGACCTACTAAAACAGAATCTGCACTTGACCAAATCCCCAGATGATTTGAATACACATTTCAGTTTGAGAAGCACTGGTCTCAGCTCAGCTGTGCTCATCTTCTTCACGTTAGTAGCAAAAGAGTCGGTATGATGCCTTGTGTGAAGCCCAGGCTGCCTCCTGGGAGTGCTGTAACTATGGGTGGCTTTTATGCCACCTCTCAGAAGCTCTGACTCTTGCTGGAATAGGGGGGACCGCATGCCACATGAACTCCTGCATTGAGCCCCTCCAGCCTCAGCTGGGGCTGCCATTGCTGGCTCTATAGGATAAGTGGCCTCAATATCAACCTTTGCTCTCCTCCTGAATTAATGTTACACAGAGATTTGCGGGAGGTGGGTGGGCAGGGAGTAAATGGAAATCCTTCAGCCTTCCTGTGAGGTCTTAGTTTCTCTGACACCATTTGTCTGCAAGAAGTCCCTGAGGCCAGGCTTGTCCTGATTCCTGTCCAGCTCTCGGGTTACAAGGACCAGCTTCCTCTGTCCAATGGATGCCTCCCCCAGCCCCCAATCAAGGGCCACCCAACCTCCAGGTCAAGTGATCAAACCCGAAACCTCAGTCCTCCTTGATTCCTATCTTTCTCTTACCCTACATTCAATTCACTAGTAAGTCCTCTTCGATATTCTTTCAAAATGTACCCTGAATGTGAATACTTTTTACCACCTCCCGCCGTCCGGGTCCAAGTCTGGGCTACTGCAGTAGGTTCCTACCTGCCTTCACTTGTCCCAGGTAGTCTGCCCTCCAGTCCTCCACAGGACAGAGGGAGCTGTTTAAAATGCAAATCAGAGGCGCCTGGGTGGCTCAGTTGGTTAAGCGACTGCCTTCGGCTCAGGTCATGATCCTGGAGTCCCGGGATGGAGTTCTGCATCGGGCTCCCTGCTCAGCAAGGAGCCTGTTTCTCCCTCTAACCCTCCCCCCTCTCATGTACTCTCTCTCTCTCATTCTTGCTTTCTCAAATAAATAAATAAATCTTTAAAAAAAAAACGCAAATCAGACTTCTTTGCTCCCCTGCTTAAAACCCGCTAATGATTTCCTACGGCACTTAGAATAACATCCAAATACCTTCTCAATGCATACAAGGTCCTGCCTGGGGATACAAGGTCCTGCATGATGTGGCCCCTGCTTACTTAAATCTCGTCTCCTACCGCTGTCTTCACTCTCAACCAGCCACAATAACCTCAGCGTGTCTCTCATCTCAATCCTTATCACGCTCAACCTTTTTGCAACATTTGATATTCTCCTCCTTCCTTGGCTTCTAGAAAGTATCACATTCTCCAGGTTTCCTCCTACCCCCTGGAACATTCCCTCCCAGTTTCTTTCTTTCTTTCTTTACTCTTTCTCTTAAATGTTGTTGTTCCCCAGGTGTCCTTGCTTTGCCCTTTATCACCCCCCACCCCGGAGTGATCTCATGGCTTCAGTTCCATCTATAGACCAGTAACTCCCACTCTCTTGAACTTCAAATTCTTAGTTACTTATTGGATGTTTCTATTTGTTGTTCCATAGGCACTTCACCTAAATGCACCAAGTCCCAAATGCAACTATCACTAACTCCCATACACCCTTTCCGACTTTTCTCTTCCTATGTTCTGCATCTCGCCCTTGGTTCCTAGGCATTTAAGCCTGGAACTTGAAACTTTTCCTCAAATCTTCATTCTCCCTCCACTCCTGCATCCAAGGCTTACCAAGTCTGTGACTTCTACAGAGAGACAGTGTAATAGTGGTGAAGGATGCAGAACCGGCAAGACAAAGGGGCTTTGTCTGTCAAGAGTTGAGATGGGGGCTCTGTGAGCCTGCGTGAAAGGAGGTCCTGTCCCTGTCATTTCCCCATTTTTCTCTGTTTCCACACAGCTGGGAAGAGGTGTCTTCCCCAGTCCTTTGCTCCTTTAGAATATCAAGGGGAGCTAATAGAAGCCTAGGGGAAAGGAGACCACTTAGGTATGCCCGTTCTTTGGCCAAAGAGTCCAGTAGGCTCCTCAAGGTCCAGCCCAGGACAGCAGGCCTAGGCTTTTCTGTTGGGTTATAAGGCCGAGGCCCCAGCTTAGAAAAGCCTGTATTTGATCTCTGTGCAGCCGTTGCTCAGAGAATTTAAGGGGTTGCTGGATGAGGCTTGGCTCAGGCAGTAAGTCTGTTAAACTCCTCTCTGGGGGCAACAGGGAGCCCTGTTTTGTAGCATTTGCTGCTTTTTTGGTGCAAATACGCCACCACGGCCAATTTCAAGCTGCTAAGATGATGTCGCTCAGTAGTGAGTTGGGAAGAGAATTGGCTCTCCTGAGCCCATGCCCGTCTCCCCATTTCCCCAGATTTCCAACACCAGTCAGACAGTCGGAGAGAGGTAACTCTAGGCCCCTGGATTGTCCACCTCCCCGTCACTTACTTCCCCAGCGTTGCCAAACTCCTCTCCAAAAGGATTGTTCCACTTGTTCGATTGTTCTAGCAGGGTGTCATAGCGCTGTCTTTTCCCCACACCTAGGTCACTGTTGTTTTAAGTTTGCTATTCTGATAGTTGACGAATTGTCCAAGCTCCTCACTCAGTGCTTTTTCTGAAGCTCAAATTTGCTTTTATTCTTTCCCTGCTTAAAATCGTCTCATGGCTCCATAGGATCCTTTGGACCAAGACTCATCTCCGGATGCTGGAACACAAGGCCCTTATGCCTTTCATCTTCCCCTTCCTGGAATGTCTTTCCCAAGATGCTCCCTTCACTATTCACAAACCCAATCCCCTTTCTGCTACAGGGCTTTGGTCCCTTGCTTCCCCAGCACAGGACCCTCCAATCTCTCAGCCTGTTGGAACTTTCTTTGTGATTCAAGACCTAACCCCAACTTTTCTTATCCTCCAACTATATGTAACAGAGCAGAGCATTCCTTCCAGAGGCCTTGTAGCTCTTTTGTGATTATGACTCACTTGGTGAGTCTTTGGTCATGGCCTTGGTAAGAAGGAGTGAGAGAGCCAAATTTGCTGAGTATGAAATTGGTGGGGATTTGAGAGTATACTGTGGTAACTCTGGAGAAAAAGGAGGAGGGCTAGTAAGTGAAAGACTGCAACCTGAGGAGAAGAAAGTCTCACGAGTGAGAAATTCCAGTAGGACTGTCGGAGGAAAGTTTCAGCACGGTGATGCCTAATGCCCAGTCTGAAGGGTACTAGCTACTCTGAATTCTCAACTGCCCCATAACCGCCCCTCCGCCCCACCCGCCCCCCCGCCCCACCATTCAGTGAACGTGTCCTCAACACCAACCTTCATTCGTGGTGTTTTCGGAACAAAGGGAGAAGAGTAATGAAGAGTGGAGGGAGGATGGCAGCCACAGAATTCAGGTTGTGGGGTGACCCCGAGGGTGTGAACACCATGGGAGGGAGAGTCCAGTAGGAACAGAGGAGGGTGTGAACTTCCCGAGGATGTGGAATACGGACTGAGCTGTTCTGATGGGATATAAATGGAAAAGGTGGTCCCAAAGGGCTGCCCTGAGGACATTTGGGTTGCGTACACACAATCTTTCCTTCCTCTCAGAAACCCCCCAGAATTTTGTGCTTCTGTTGGGATGTTTTTCTATGTAAGCAGCTGTGCTAGCCTCCGCCTGAGCTGGATAAGCTGAGAACCCTGCCAGAGGGCAAGTGTCATCCCAACTCCCTCCTCCTGGGTAAAAGCTGGGTGGGAGCGGGCCTGGCCCTTCCTCCCCGACCCCTGTCCCAGCCTCGTAGCAGCTACTGCCAATGAACACGGGATATTCGGCAGCATGATGCTAACGCACCGTCTCATGTCTTCACACAACGACTCTCTCCGGTGCCCTTGTCCTTCCTTTAGGGAAGCGGAAATGCAGGCTGCGAAGGATTACATGAGTTGTCCAAAGTCACTGTTAAGGGGCACAGCAGAGATGTGAATTCAGGTCTGTTTGATTCCAAAGCCTGTTCTTTTATTTATTTATTTATTTATTTTAAAAAAGATTTTATTTATTTATTTGACAGAGA